TTGCCCTTGGGGTTGAGAGGTATAGAAAGGCCTGTCCTTATGCTCAGTTTAACCTGATCTGGGCCATTATTGCAGGGTTTTTTTTAGCTAGGGAAATTAGATGGATCAGGGGGTTGGTGGGTGGGCTGGACAAGAGGAGGGGATGGAGAGAATACAGTCCTGAGGTGGAACTGATATGAATCCGTTCTTTGTTTCATATCAGTGTTGGGCTGCTCTGCTGGGGGCCACGCTTAAGTGTTGTTTGGAGCCGGAGGTGACAGGATTTTGGTGTCTAAGAGAAGGATTTCTGCCCCATACAAGGGATTTTCCATCACACAGGTCGGGGCAAATAAGTAAGAGCGTTTGAAACTGGATACAGTTTGTGGACAAATAAAAAAAAACAGCATATGTGGTATGTGCAACCAATAGCATGTATTACAAAGAAAAAAAATATCACAGAAAGCGTCTCATCATTAGCTCTATGTAAGGTGACGTCCAATGCATCTTCCCACTGTTGAAGTTCTTCATAGTGTGATGGGTAACTACTACCGCATGGACCGGATCAGTGTTTCACACCTCTGTTTCCTGCTCAATCCAAGCCGCCCTTTTAGCTTAAGTTACAAGGGTTTACTTCCCCCAAAGAAAAAAATATATACAACTTCTAATCATATTAAATATTTAACGAATATAATCTCTGTTCGCGTAGCATCTGATCAGTTCAGTCCTCAACCAGGCTGGCGTGTGCCCTTCAACCATCTAGATATCACATCTGGAGATGCGTTCTCCTGAAGATGTGGCTTTGCAGGCGGTGAGGACTATCGGACAGAGTTCCTGTGGCTCTCCGAAAGGGGAACAGAGTCGCGTGACAGACACAGTGATGAAGCTGCTATGTGTGCAGTACACTTGGTTTCTGAAACCAAGCCTTCTTTCTTTGCGTGCACATTTGGGCGGCATTATGCTAATATTTCCACATAGTGAGGTAGATATGTGGGGGCGTGTTAGAACGAGCCGTTTTAGGGGGGGCGTGGCAGAGTCTTAACTTTGATAAAGAATATCTCTTTGGTTTTGAGACTTTAGTCTTTGCAACTTCAGGGATCTTATCTATGCACTTATGCTTATCTATCAGCTTGTAACACTCCAAAGAGAAAGGAAAACTTGAAATCGCATCATATGACCCCTTTAATGAGTGAGTCACTGAATCAACTCAACTGATTTGTTCAAAAACACTCAATTAGGAACAAAACACAGCAATTGTGCATTGCTTAGAGTCAGAATTTCAAAATAAACAAAATAGCACAATATTGTGCCTAAAATTTAAGTTACGTAATATTAACTTCCTGTTTGTTGATTTGTCTTACGAGGCGATTGACTTTTCACTGTTAGTATCACTCTGCTTGACTATGTTTGCATGTTCCAAACAGATTGTCAGTCTGTGTACTATTTGTGAAGGATTTTTGACTCTTTCTGCAGGTTACAGTTCAACAGTAGGTGGCGACAAGTGCCTTTTTTTAGTAAGTCATTGAATATTACTATCACGTGCGGGCTTTCACATGGAGCAGCATTAACTACACAGAGCCGTTGTTCACTGACAAGCTGAGCAAAATATGATCGTGGTTTTGCGTAGCTTGTCAGTGAACAACGGCTCTGTGTAGTAAATGCTTCTCCATGTGAAAGCCCGCACGTGATGGAGATTTACGGGTGATTACAGAACCGGCTTTACTGACAAAATGCGTGTTAAATATCGCATGCGATTTATCGTGCAGCCATACTATCAACCAATTCATTCAAAAACACATACTCATTCAGGAATAAAACGTGACATCTTTATGAGTGAGTTATTAAATCACTCAACTGATTAATTCAGAAACACTCATTCATTTAGGAGTTGAAACATTGCTACCTGTACTTTGCAGTGCTTGGAGACAAAAATGGCAGAAATAACAAAATAACCAGCAAAATTGTAACTAAATTATAAGTTACTTAATATTAAACTTTATATTGAATAGTTGAAAAAACCAGCATCACACTTAAATAATTAAATAATGCTTAATTGTGCCACAAATGCTGTTGATAACTAACTAAAAACAAACCATATCAGAAGTATAGGAGATGGTGAGATACTTCAACACATCTGCAAAAAAAGTCTATTAACTACGATTCAGGAAAAACACGCATTAATGTGCTTCTCTTTTGTAATAGTTGTAGAATTCTAGCCATTCTAGTCATCAATAAGAATATGACCTTGAAGGCTAGTTCTGGATAGGGGGACGTTGTCATGAGACGGGTGAAAAGCATGAGGTGGGGGGTTCTCTAGGCATTGGGACAGCAGGGTGGAGGTCCTACAGAGATGGACTGGGATAGACCCCTGAAGGGCTTCTTTTAGGACTGAAGTAATTGGTGTGAAATGGTTGCGTCTGTGGAGCCCCATTTTGGCATATGCTTTGTGCTAAAGTATTGTGCTTGTTTTTCATTGACCGTCCAATAATGGACCATATGATGAGATCATTATTAGATATTTCACAAATTCGCACAATCTTCAGCCTTTAATGCAAAAATGTGCATTTTTTGGTGGTGTAAGATGTTTAGACTCCTCTAGATTTAGATTAAACATATTTTCCTTATTTATTTAAATACTTAAAATAAGTCCCCTATGCATAATACACTGAAATACAGAATACTAATTAAGTCTTTGTTATATTTTTGGCTTTGTTTTGGTCTCTTGATTATAGCCCTATTTAAAAACTTTTTTAATGAAGCCCTATATACAAAATTAACTTGTAGATTTGAATAATTTCTCCAAAGTTTCTTATAGATTATTTCAGATAGAAATGCTTTCTATCTGCCAACGTTGAGCAGATGGCCCCCATAAACGGAGGAATGTAACACCAAATATGAATTTAGCACCTGGTTGTTTTTCATCCTCCTGAAAGGTGGCGGCTGCTCTGAGTGTTCTCACACATGTCTCATAATCAGATGGCAGGGTGGCAGTCAGTGCCAGAGAACCAGAGACGCAGAACTCGCCGTCACTCGTGGATTAATATCTGAGCTCAGGAAGAGCTTGATGTAATCGAGAGAGAGTTTCAGCACTTTAAACATTATCGAGAGCAGCTCTGTAGCAAATCAAGTTACCTGAAGTGCTTAGAGTGAAGTAAGTGATCGAATATGATCTGTTCTTGTTGAAATCTGTTTTTTAGTGATATTTTCTAGTGTGCTTTGCCTATCATTCAAGTTCTAGCAAAAATTATTTGCATTTGAAAAGCAAATAGCCTCTCTCTGCAAGGTCCGAATGTGAAAAGCTTCAGCGTGTCTTGTGTTGTTGGAAGTTTCGTGTCATTTTGAGAGAAGACGTCCTTCACCTGATTGACATGTCGTGCCCAGGAGAGTTGTGGGAGGAAATGATATTCGGAGAGGGAGTGCGTTTGTGTTTTATTTCATATGAGATGCTTTGTTTGCACATGTATGGAGAAGAACGTCAGGTTGTGGATGAAGTTATTGGTGGAGGCTAGCAGATCTGATGATAGACATGAACAGCTTGGCATAAAATAAACAGTTGCAACTAATGGTTATTTTGATAATCAGCTAATCTAATTAGAAGGATTTATTCACTATTCAGGTGATTAATGAATCAATTAATGTACTGTTCAGTTTTATATTTTTTAAGAGGCTGTGCATGTGCTAACTAACAATAAAGACAAGTTGATGAATATAATATGAAGAATACTTTTAATAAACTTGTGGCCAACCTCCTTCACATTTTTTTTCTACTTAGCATCCAACCTCAAAAATCGACAAAAACATCTCTCTTAACACTTTAGTTACCTTTGTTTTTTTAAATAATAATAATAATAAATAAATAAATAATTAATCAAATATAAAAAATTTACATAAAAATATTATATATATAATTTAGTTAGTGCTGCCTTATTAATGATTGTCATGTAGAGAGACTGTTTTGTATGGAAGCCAATTTCTGCCACAGAAACAAAAATAATTCTTTGTTAATTAGAATTATGCTTTTATAATTATAAGTCGAAAATATGAAAAAAAATGACAGTCATAATTATGAGATCAAAAATTGAAATTATGACTTAAAAGTCAAAATGACGTCATAATTGTCATATAAAAGTCAAAACTATAACATAAAAAGTAAAAATTAACAGTTGTGAGATAAAAAGCCAAAATTGTTTTTTTTTACTTTTTATGTATGACTTACCGTGTCATCATTTTGACTTTTTATGTCATAAGTATGATTTACCAAAGCGTGTTTTTTTTTTCTTATGTGGTGGAAAAAATAATTTTCCAATAACTGATTGTCTTATATTTTGTATTTTCACACAAATTGCTTTTTTTACATTTAGAATGTAAATAGATTTTGCCATGCTAATGTTTGGAAATAAGCATATCTCAAACACTAGATTAGAAACTAGATTAGTTTTCGTTTCAGTTTTTTAGCTGAATATTTAGCTGGATAGATTTGAACCTGAATCCATGTGTCTCAGCATGGATACCACTGTGAACTTATTTGTTTTCTAATAAACGGCTTTAGTTTAAATACTTTTAAACTTCAATTCAGACTCCTAGACTTTAAGTCAACAACCATCATTGTTTAAAACTGTTCCCACTGGAATGCTCCAGAATAAGCACGAATGACCTGCTGAAGAAAACAAACCCTATTAGTCATAAAAAATTCATAATTGCACAATCTCCCTCGGTGAATGAAAAGCAGCCACAGAGTAATGCTCTCAATGCACGGTTCTCCACTGGAAACGGTAAAAATCAGACTCATTAACATTGCTTTTCATGAACAAAGGCTGCTAATTAGAGGTGACAACTGCAGTGAGGAGGCCCAGCTCTGAGTGAACAAGCTAATGATAGAGAGTGAGGGGAATGCGGGCCGTCAGACAGGGTGACCTTAGTGTAGCCAGCGGGTCAGGAACGGAGAGAACAACATCTGCAGGTATGTGTTTCATAGTGTCCATCACAAAAACAGATCATGCATACCTTTTGTCTTTTCCTTTCAGATCAAGAATGCTGAAGACGCAATGGATCCCCTAGTTCATTTGAGCCCACTGAGAGTCCGAATCTCTGCTCTCCCACACCCCACGCGCCCACCTCATCCCTGGGCACCCGACCCTGCGCCTTTTGCCATCGTCTGGAAGAGTGAGTAGTTTTCTCACCGACACGGGAGAAAGGTGAAACCTTCCTGTGTAAATATGACTGGATGGAGGTCTCAGTGGCGTCTGGTCCTGCTCAACTCACTGACATGTGGCCTGGAGATCTGCGTGGCGGCTGGGATCACCTACGTGCCCCCTCTGTTGCTGGAGGCTGGCGTGGAGGAACAGTACATGACGATGGTTTTAGGTAAGGTTTCAGCCTAACCTTGGAATGTCGAACCAGGATTTATGATTGGTTAATTAAGGGCTGTGTTGTAAACAGCAAGTCAAGGTTGTTTCCCACTAAGGAGTTGATCCTATAATGGGGGCCATTATCATAATTACTGGCTAAATCACTCGCTGCCCCATCCAGGTGGTAATCGGGTGCTAATTGGAAAGCACTGGACTGCAGGAAGAGGCCCGGATGCTCGAGGGTCAGCAGCTATGTGGAAGCTTGTATAGTTTTACTGCATCCTGTTAAAATTCTATGGGACTTTCCTCTGGAATTTCATCAGAAAATAGAGTCATCATGGGCTACCTTAAAGCTGGAAGCCTGTTTCTAATATTGTGGGCTTGTGCAGTTGACTGTTATCTCTTATTTAAATGTGCACTTTTTCCATTTCTCACCCCCTATGTCCTGCTAATTGTGTTAGGAGTTTTGAGAAGAATTTTCAAAAATTTCACTTCTAGGGAATTATTTTCCTTATTATTATTGTTTTCCTTATTATTCCTTTGAAAAACTGGTAGACACAGTATTATGGAAAACTTGTAGACTAAATTAAACTTGATAAGGTGTCATGTCAAAATAAATAAATAAATAATTATATATATATATTACTATTATATACACACACACACACACTAGGGCTGTCAAGTCTATTAATCGTGATTAATCGCATCCAAAAATGTATATGTGATTTATATTATATATAAATATTAATATATATTGCATATACTTCTTAAATATATACATGTATGTGTGTGTATTAATATATAAATATACACAGTACACACATACAGTATATTATGTAAACACAAACGGTTATTTTGGATGTGATTAATCGCGATAATAATATATATGTATGCATACACCGTTCAAAAGTTTGGGGTCATTTAAAAAAAATTTACTGTTCAGTTTTGTACAGTACAAATATTTTAATTCTGCAAGGATGCATTAAATTGATAAAAAGTTACAGTCAAGAAAAATCTATTTTAAATAAATGCTGTTCTTTTGAACTTTCTATTCCTCAAAGAATCCCGAGAAGAAGAAAAAAGTTTCCACCAAAAATGTTCTGTATTAAAATATAATAAATATTATAAGCATCACAGCTGTTTTCAACAGTGATAATATTAATACGTGACACTGAAGCCTGGCGTTATGACTGCTGAGTATTCAGTTTTGCATCACAGGAAGAAATTACATTGATATATTAAAATAAGAAACTGATATTAAATTGTAATAATATTTTACAATACTGTAATTTGATGCAGCCTTGGTGAAGAAACTTCTTTCAAAAGAGTTAAAAACATTTTGAATGATAGTTCATGTAATATATTAATTAAAAATATGTATTTTTATTATTATATATATATATATATATATATATATATATATTCATAACATGAATTTAAATATTAGTATTATATATTTTCATGGCTTATATATGCCACTAGGCCACGGCCTGAAACAATTTAAAGTGTGCAGTTTCAAAGAGAATCATTTGCTTTTGTCTACTAGACAAAAAACTTAATGAGAACTTTGTTCATATAAAGCGACGTGAGTGATTGTTTTTATTTTTCATCCTAGAATAACAGCCCTATAACTCTAAATATTTGGCCTCGTTTGAGTTTTTTTCAGCGTGCCATTATCCATATGAACAGATGCATTATTTTGTGCCCACAAATGGCTTCCACATGGCTTTTGCTGTAAAAGAATCTCTCTCGATGACTATTTGCCTTGCAAACAAAACAGAAAAAAGTAGTTCACAAATGTGCATGTGGGCTGGTCACTTTGCAGTCACCAGACGGACAGAAGATGTGTGGTGCGTTAATACGTACTACACACCGCTTTCTTTGTCAACAGCTGCAGTGGAAAGCAAAGAAAGATCCTTTGTGTTCATTTCCATTCACAAGCTATATAAACTCATAATGTCGTTGCCATTAGAAGTGCTTTCAAAAGGTGTTGTGTGTGGTTCCATAGGTTTTGTTGGACTGTTTCTTAATGGAGTGGGGTTCGGAGGCATTTTATTCATTTCAATGTTATGGTGACCTGAGAAATAAATAAATTCCTTAGTCTGGGCTTTTTGGACCAGATTGATGAGTTGTTTGTGACCTCTTCTCGAGCTAACAGTGCATTATAGGTATACATTTTTTCCCTGGAACTTAAACCCATGACCTTTCTGTTGTTAAAGCCATGCTTTTCCATTGGAGCTACAGGAACAATTAGGATGACTATAATGAATTGCACTGTGTAGTAAATAAAAGAGTCATATGATTAATTGTCTTAAACTGTTGCAAACAGCACAAAGGCACCTTTAAAAAGAAGTGGGCATAATCCCACTCTCCCTCCACGTTGGGAAAAACAGCATGTGTTGACTTACAGGCACAGTTGACCGACATTGTTAAATAAATCTCTTTATGGTAGGCAGTTCCAACTATAGTATTCCTCACATTACACATGGTTTGTCAGTACCTGCCTTAAATGTGGTTGTTTTCAAATTTTTTAGGTGTGATTTAACACACACATGCTTCCATTTTCCGGTTTACAGCTCTTGCGGAAATGTGTTTTTGTAATGTGTGAGAATTTGCGAACATTATAATTATGCACCATGATGGCAAAAATTTATTTCAAAAACACTATATACTCTACTGTTCAAAAGTTTGAGGTCTGTAAGATTTTGTTGTTGTTGTTGTTGTTTTAAGAAATGAATACTTTTATTCAGCAAGGACACACTGAATTAATCAAAAATGACAGTAAAGACATTTATAATGTAACAACAGATTTCTATTTCAAATAAATACTGTACTTTTGAACTTTATATTCTTAGAAGAATCCTGAAAAAATGCATCACGGTTTCCACAAAAATATTAAGCAACACTTTTCAACATGGCTAATAAACATTCCAGGAAACATCTCTTGAGCAGCAAATCAAGGATCATGTGACATTGAAGACTGTATCATTGCAGGAATGAATAACATAATTAGATTTAACTTTTTACTTATAAAACAATTTTAATTTATAATAATAATGCTTCTATTAAATGCAGTTACATTTTTCACAGTATACTTTAACCTAATTAATGTTTTGATATTCTTTTTCCATTAAACGTACTAAGATTTTTACAGTGTGCACTGAGTAAACTGACTCCAGTGAACTTTTAATTGCATTTTGAGCATGTTCAGGTCATCATTCCACCACGCACTTGAATAAAAATAGCTGCTGAAGATCTAGACATGAATCGAAATGGGAATCAGTGCCCGACACCAGAGTCATCTGCTTTAATTAGAAAAGCTGTGGGGATGAGGGAGCAGAGCCAGAGACTGGTCACCTTAAACAACAGGCAGCATTACAGCAGGCTGAAGACGAAGCCAAAAGATAGAGGCCATGGCTGTGATTCTTTGACATAAATGTTGTCTCCAGTGACCTAAAAAGATTTCTTTTTTAATATTCATATACTTTTTCATTAGGTATTGGACCTGTCCTGGGACTTCTCTTCATCCCCCTGATTGGCTCAGCCAGCGATCAGTGCAACAGTAGCTACGGCCGACGGCGACCCTTCATATGGCTGCTGTCATTGGGAGTTCTCCTAGCCCTTTTTATCATACCGCATGCTGACGTGTTGGCTGCCAACCTGAGCTGGGGCAGCACCCGCCGCAACCAGGCTCTCCAGGTGGGCCTGCTCATCCTAGGCGTGGGCCTATTGGACTTCTGCGGACAGGTGTGCTTTACGCCACTGGAGGCGTTACTCTCGGACCTCTACCGTGAACGGGATGACTGCGGACAGGCTTTCGCTATGTTCTCCTTCATGGTAAGCCTTGGAGGTTGCATAGGCTATTTGCTACCCGCTCTGGACTGGAGCGGTGGACTCCTTTCCTTCTACCTGGGTGGTCAGGCTGAGTGCTTGTTCTCCCTCCTCATCCTCATTTTTGTGGTCAGCGTGTTAGTGACCATGAAGGTGTCCGAGGAACCCTCATCCACCCTGGAACCGGTGCTGTTGGAGCCCGGAGGGTGTATTCCGCGCTCATGCTGCTATCTGTTTCAGTGTAAGCTGCGGGCTCTGAAGTCCGGCCCACTCATGTGCCTGCTCAGGACTTGCTGGTCCATGACACCGGCCATTTATCGCAGCTACTGCCACGTGCCACGTGTCATGCGACAGCTGTGTTTGGCGCAGCTCTGCAGCTGGATGGGTGTCATGTCCTTCATGCTCTTCTACACAGATTTTGTCGGCGAGGGACTGTACGAAGGAGTTCCCAGCGCCGCTCCGGGTACTATTCTCAGGCAACGCTATGATGAAGGTTAGTAAGTAAAATCAAAATCGACCCTATTTACTTTCTTAATGCACATTTGTTGTCTTTATTGTGAGGGATTCATCAGTGTGATTAATCTTTGTCTGTTAATGTCACTTAGCCATGTAGGTTATTGTTCTGTTTAATCTAGTAATTGTTTTTGTAAACTCATATTGGGACTTGTATAGGGATGCTCGATTTAGGGGAAAAAATTAATTGGGTAAAAACTGCATTGTAGAGAGAGAAAAAAACATAAAATAATAATAATATGTGACACCGATGCAACTTTTAAGAAATATTGTAAAATACAGATAAATAAAACTAAACATTTACAAATATTATAAACGTAGTTATTTTCTTACCACAACAAATTATTTAAATTTAACAGTATTCAGAACGGGGATGAAAAGTATATGTATAAAATAACAATAAATTATAGTGGCATTCATTATAAACAACAATTATAAACGGCAAGCCTAAAAAAATGTATTTAAAGCAAAATAAGAGGTAGAGTGTACCTCTCTAATTCGACACAAATCTGAATGTATGCACTTTGCTGATGTTTTGTGTGCATGATTTTAATTGCATTATATAAGTTGCAGCACATTTTAGATGATAAAAATGTGACATTCCACAAAATGTGGTATATATCAATATGGCTTTATCAACCATAAAACTACAATGCCGATTTTTTATGGATGTCTCAATTTCTTAGTTAACATTAAACCTTAAACCTTAAAGCTTTTGTTTTGGTGGAAAACCGCATAGAGCTCTTACAACTTGATGGTTGGCACATGTTGCATTTCCAAATGCACGATATAAATGACAAAACTGCAGAAATTAGTTTGTGGAGCCACTCTGAGATACTGAAAACACCCAATAATGAGCTACTTGCGTGTAATCGAACACAGTGCTGCATTACACTCTGATATCGCATACATTTAATTAAATTAATTTGCAGTCTTTGCAATTTGATAATTGCATTAAGCCATATTATGTTTTTAATTAATCATGCAGCCCCTAGTCTTGTATGAATTGCCTACTTCTCATGATCTAATTATTTGTTAAATTTTTTTCAATTTGAATATCATTCAGAAATACATAACTCAGAAATAAATCGGTTGTGAACAGCAGTTCATGCAAATGTATTAAAGAGATGAAAATTAATGTCCTTCCAAATGTGACTGACTTTCTTTTGTGGAAAACAAAAAGGGATGTTTTGAAGAATGTTTCAGCTTTTTTGTCCATACAATTAAAGTCAATGGGGAGCAGTTGCAGCTAGGTGTTTAATAACAGAGCAGTAAGTTTCTTAGCAGAACTTTTCCAATGTACTGAACAATCTGAATCCAGAACTGTTTTGTCATAATGTTGCATTTCAAGCAGGTCATGTAATGTTTGATTTCCCAAGAGATTAATGATTAATGATATTATTTATTTCAGAGACACTCTCTGACTCATGCGTCATGCATTCCCACTTAGAGGCATTCCTAATGTTTTGTTAATGTTAAGGGACATTTTATTGGTTAATATTTGTACATAGATTCTCAGTTTTGTCTGGGGGCTCTCATTAGACAGCAAGAATGAAAAGAAAGGATATCAGTGTTTGTTTCGTGGAGTTAAGAATAATAACGAACCTTCACCTCATTTCCCTGTCTGTGGTCAAAAGGCAATTTTTTTTAACTGTCCATAAACTTGTTTTCCTGCTGTTTGTGGTCTGTCATTTCCGTCCTCTGGCCAGATTGTCTGTCTCTACGCCGTGAACTTGTATTCACCTCAACCTTAAATTTTGGTGGCCTCTGTCAGCCTGGTGCTTGAGCTTTCAGCAATGTTCATGAAAATAAATGCATGTATTTAGCTAGTCAACAACTAGCTTACAAAATCTACATCATGTTAAGCTAGCATCTGGACCTCTCCCACTGAGCTTTGACACCAGCAGAAAGCTCCTTTAGCAAAACATTTTGACAGATGTGGTCAAGATCAGTGTGCAAACACCGCAAACTGTGCTCCATGTAACAAAAAGTGTTTGAGATAGTTGTTCAATACAGTGAACATCTCGGCCCTGTGCAATTGTGTGTTTAAATTATGAATTCCTTCTGTGAGGAAAGTTCCTGGCATATTTGAAGTACAACGTCAAAGCCTGCAAACACTTGCCTTAGTGCCTTAGTTTACATTCTCCACTATGCTCAAATGGGCAAAGCAAACAGTATGAAATTACCTCATCTGTCAAAACCACAAGGGATGGGGATTGTTGTTTACCTGGACATGCAGCTTTTGAAAAGAATGGTGAGCCCACCGGTGTCCTTTGAATTTGCGCTATTTTGTGATAATTACCAGCTCACTATATATTATCAGTGTATGGAATCAGTACGATTTTTGAAGGAAGTCTCTTTTGCTCACCAAGGCTGCATTTATTTGATCATAAATGTGATATATTTTAACATGTAATTTATTCCTGTGATGCAAAGCTGAATTTTCAGCAGCCATTACTCCAGTTTTCAGTGTCACGTGATCCTTCAGAAATCAGTCTAATATGCTATTTTGCTGCTCAAGACACATTTCTTATTAGGTATGTTGAAAAAAACATTTTTGTGGAAACTGTGATTTTGTTTTCAGAATTCTTTAATGATTAAAAAGTTCACAAGAACAGTATTTATTTGAAAAAAAAATATTTTGTAGCATAATAGCTTTTCCTTACACTTTTGACAACTTAATTCTTGCTGAATAAAAGTAATAATTTCTTTCAGAAAAAACTTACTGACCCCTGAACGACAGCATACACACACACATACAGTGGGTACGGAAAGTATTCAGACCCCCTTAAATTTTTCACTCTGTTATATTGCAGCCATTGGCTAAAATAATGACATCATATTCAATATTTTGATCACTGGCAGCTTATTCATCACATCCAGCATCAAATGACAGTGACATTTATATTTCATTGCGTATAGTAATTGCTCTTCAGTAAAGCCATTAAAACCAGTTCAAACCAGTTCTATATATATATATATATATATATATATATATATATATATATATATATATATATATATAGGGTTTTTTTCAGGTACTTTGCTATAAACAACACTGAAATATTGTTAAGCGCAATTATGCAACAATATTTGTGCAATGCTGAGGTTCACCTGAATCAACACTTGAATCAGAATCGAGTGTTAATTCTAAACAAAACCAACCTGTTTCTCTAGTGAAATTCTCCAACATCACCCCTACAGGTATCCGTATGGGCAGCCTGGGCCTGTTCCTGCAGTGTGCTACCTCAACCTTATTCTCACTGGTCATGAGCAGGCTGGTGCATCTCTTTGGGTCCAGGGTGGTCTATTTGAGCAGCATGGTGTGTTTCACCTTCTCCGCTCTGGTCATCTGCTTGTCCAAGAGCGTCCTGTTGGTCACAGCTATGTCGGCCCTCACTGGCTTTGCCTATGCGACGCTGCAGACACTGCCTTACACGCTTACTTGCCACTACCACAAAGAGAAAGAGGTAGGCATTTCATACTTGCATATATTTTCTGTCGTTTCTTTTATAGAAAATAGCATCGTGTATGTACAATCATTGTTTTTATAATTGTTTTATAATTTTATAAATATATATAATTATTTTTTTTTTTTTACAATTTTTAGAAAGGACAACATTGTTTAAATATTATTTCACTAAATGTTGCAAGCCAGATTCAAACTGGCAGAAAATAAATGAGCACCATATGTTAGTTTGAATCCATCTTGCAACATTTCCTGATATAAAAAGCCTTGTTCTTTAGAAAAATGCAAATATATTTTGCAAAACTACTTATAAAAGCATTGTGAGCCTATTTATGTAACAAAAATCAAAATAAACTGTAAAAAAACATTTTCCTTATTATTTAATGTCATGCCTTTATGGTGCCTATACAAAATGGCAAAAAGACCTAATAAATAATAAAAACTAGATATATTTGTTACATATGTCTCACTTGCTTCTCATCACTAACATCCTTCAGGTGTACATGCAAAACAGCAAAACCAAAAAAGCGCACACAAATGGATTCACCATCGCAAGGGATTCTGTTTGTCTGACACTAGACAACGGCCCTGGAGATCTCAACCACAAGAGTGACATTTCCAATGGGCATGTTTCTTACAGTAGAGATGAACCAGAGTATTACCCACCTCTGCATCAGAATGGTGCCGCCCTTGGTCTGGAGTCAGAGGATTTTGAGAAACGTGGGGTGGGACTAGACTTTGCCATTCTGGACAGCACCTTCCTTCTCTCTCAGGTCTTCCCTACCCTCTTCATGGGCATGATCGTCCAGTTCACAGAGTCCGTCACCGCGTACATTGCCTCCTCTGCCATCTTTAGCGCCATTGGCATCTATTTTGCCACCCACATCATCTTTGACCAAAAGGACCTCAGAAGCTGAAAGAAACAGTAATTGTGTCATTTCACAGTTCACTTTTTACTAAGCATCATGTTAAATGTCACTGATTAATCTACAGAAAGTGATGGTTAAAAAAATGAGATGGGAAGAAAAATTACATTTCAATGCTTTTTTGCTTTCTCTTCCAAAAGTATTGGGTTCTCCTGAGAAACTGCATTCACTCACAAAACCTGATTTAGGTTAATTAAATCTGAGAAGTGGTGAGTTTTGATATCAGTCTCAAATATCATTAAATCCCCAAGGAAATTAAAATAAATAGCCAATGACTTTCTCCAAAAGAATCTTAGAAGTTATTAACAAAGCTAGGTATTAAACATTTGACCATACTGGGACCTCGCACTGTACAGGAGGATTACGTGCTGTACAATTATGCATAATCATAATAATAGTGATAACATAAAACGTAGAAAAATACATTTGAGTGACTCGAGTAGGCCTATTGGATGCGCGTGAAATTTTAGCATAATGAGACAGCGCCACCTGTAGGACACATAGCCTGCTGTCTTTAATTTTTGTGTACCTGCCAGGTGTAAAAAACATTATCTATCTATCTATCTATCAATAAGTGATTAGTCAATTAGGCGTTAGGAGTTCAGCTCGCGCTCGGACGTGCGTTACGTCCAACTACGCTATGTGTTTTTACTCAGATGAATAAATCAAGGGGGCATATTCAAAATATAGCTTAGTGAAAGCTTCCTGAGCAAACAGCACAGGAAGTGTTTTGCAAGATTGACATGGCTCCGCGGTGACAACTGGCCTGTTTTTACACCTTCTTTCTAAATAAGGAAGCGGCCCGTCAGGCATATGACCGCCGGTCCAATTTGGGAGCTGCCAACGAAGCCCATCACGCCCCATGTTCTCTCCCGCTCACTCTCGCGCTCGCGTGGATTGACAGCGATTGGGTTTTGGCGTTCGAACTGACCCCCGGCGCCGGTGAGGTCAGCGTGATGTCATCCCGAAGATCTCCCAGGCAAGGTGAGCTTGCATTTTGGTGAGTGTGTGGTGCTCCCCATCCAGAGAGGTGAAACATGGTAATCATCATCGCCGCCACCGCCACCGCCACCAGCTCAAGCTCTGCCGCCCTGCTCTTCTCATCTACCGAGGGGCTTATTGCGTTACACGCTCGTAGCCCCGACCTGCCTTCCAAAAATAAGCCCCTGCCACCATGCCGAAAGAAGAAAAACAAGAGTGGTATTTTTAGGGGCATTAATTTTGACCACGTGCCCCGAGGGTAAACCGGATGGCCACTGCGCAAAGGTTCCTCATCAGTATGTGCGAGAGCAGCGGGCGCTGGACGTGGACTGCGGTTGTTCTGCTGGGCTTTCTGCTTGGGATCGTGTCCTCCTACCCCACCTTGAACAGGACTAATGCAACTTCACCGGAGAAAAGGTGGGAGACGCTCTTCTCGCGCTCCGTTTTGGGGATCTCGGTGGAGAAATCGGACCTGAACTGGGAGAGTGACTATTTGCTGGGCATTAAGAGAGTGCGGAGGCTGTACTGCAACGTGGGCATCGGGTTTCACCTGCAGGTCCTGCCAGACGGAAGGATAAACGGTGTCCATAATGAGAACCAGTACAGTGAGTTGCATCCAGAAATGTCATGCATGACGCGTAATACCAGGGATGGAGAATGACTGAATGAACAGCTCTATATATATTAAATAAAAAATAATTATATATCCTACAGTGTGTGTGTGTGTGTATATATATATATATATATATATATATATACACACACACACACACTGTAGGATATATAATTATTTTTAATTTAACTTTATGCTAAATTAATATATATTTTAATTGTATTATTATTAGGCCCCTATTACTCTTATTGTTGCATGTGTCCTAAAGCAATGACATATCTATTAAAATAAACCCTAGTGTCAATCACTGCCGAATTTCACGAGGCTCAAACATGACACGAATGCTTGGACGAATTTAGACGCCAAACTAATTTTACCCAGCGTCCATCTGCTTGTCGTACATGCCAGAATTGCAGGGCTTTTTCCATGGCACAGTATAAGAAATGAGCCAGCATGGGAGAACATGCAGAACAAAGGCTCTGTGCATCCCCTGGATCCACCCCCAGAACGCATCCTACAGATTGAGTAAATGAGTTGCCGTGTGCCACATTGTCATGTATGTAACACTGATGTTCTGTTCAATCAGGTCTAATAGAAATCTCAGCGGTAGAGAGAGGAGTGGTTAGTCTATACGGAGTGAAAAGCAAGCTGTTTGTCGCAATGAGCAGCCGCGGAAGGTTATACGGAACGGTAGGTATGCCTGTCGTTTGATTTCATTGTATTGTGCAGAAAACGCCACTTCAGTCTTGTAGTGTTAAATGTGTCAGTGGCAAATAAGGATTCATCTAGTCTGAGGTGATAAAAATGCCAAGTTTAGTGGCAAGTTCTAGTTGGATTCATAAAAAATATAGATATATATTGATGTATTTATTTAATGGCTCTAAAATGTCAAGTGGTTTAACCATTAAGATAAACTTAAATATTTTCTATGAACTTTGAATACATGTGAGTGTACACGAATAAAAACAGTTTTCAACAAATATCAAGACATTTTCTTTCTTCGTTTGACATGAACAAAATGTGCCTTTTATTAAAGGTCACAACACCACCCAACATTTATGACTGTAATGTGCTGGCGCTACGAAATGAGGATTAGAATGTACATAACCTTGAAGACTGGCGACTGAACGCCTGATACTGAAGGTAAACATTTACGAGAAAGACGTGTAGGCCTAGGCCTATTTTTTCTACTGGACAACGGCCTTTTTATAGGCTACTGTTGTCTAGAACAGTGTTTCCCAACCGGGGTGCAGTCTGTCGAGAGCAGGGGTGCCGTGTAAAAAATCCCTTTTTAATATTTTTAAATTGCTAACATGTTCAAAAACGCATCTATTATATAATATCCATTTCTGATGTCGCCAATAATTAGAGATGCACCGAAATTCCGGCTGCCGAAAATTAGTTCACCGCTCAGGCTTCACTTTCACGTGGTGTGACGCTCTGCGTATTATCCGCTCTACCCGTTCATGCGAATCGGAACAGCAAAGTCCACTCAAAAACTGAGCCGACAGGAAACATCGATGTAGTACAGTATTGTTTCTGTTTGCAATAGCCCTACTGTGTTGTAACATGGTGTGGTATATGAGCAACTCTGGTAACGCTGCCCTCTCATTCATTGATCTGCTAACCGCTATGTTATGCTCACGTGTTCTGATAATAATAGCTTTCTAAAACATTTCTAGGACATTATTTGGATAATTGGTAAAAAAGAAGAAAAAGTTAAATA